ATACTAAAAGAAATTAATCTAAAACACCAACGCCCTCAGAATACAATTAATTGACTTCAAGTCCACCACGTCCATTATCAGAGTTAAATCAAAATAGCTGTTGACTAAATTGAGAAAGGCTATGAAGTATGTCACTTTCAAATTGTCCCTCTCTGTCTCTTTTTAAGAATACTTACGCTCTCTATTTCGTTCTGTTTCGCTCTCTAGTTCCGTGTGGTGACGGACCAAGAATACCGAGTGTCACCACCCCTATTCATCTAGTGGGTGCCGTAAGAGGCGACTAAGGGAGCAACTGTGCAGGACAACAGCACTGCAGAGAGAAGGAAAACTTGACACAAACCCTATTCCAACCCATCTGGCCAGCGTGGTATAGTAGACCAAAACCTCCTTTCTAAGGAGAGGCCTATGTCCAGCAGTGGCCTATTAAAGGCTGTCGATGTGATGTGATGACGCTCTCTATAAGTTTAGACAGAGTGCTCTTGATATAACTACTTGATATAACTATGATAAAACTACGGGTAACTGCAAAAAAGATTTCAGAGGTCATCATAATAATAAAAATAGTTTTATTACAGGCGCCATAATAAAAGGTGTCTGTGATCATGTAAACTCTTTTCAACCGGTGGAGTCACATTACACGAGAAAAGACTCAAACAAAGGTTACATAGTTGGTTTGAATTTCTCCATAATGTTTAAGTTGTACCAGAATTGGGCAGAGGAGAATAATATTGTGGAGAGATAACAGAGAGTGTTTATGAGATCTCGGTACTGGCGTACCGAGATCTCATAAACAAAGAAATGAACATAACCTTTTATGTTCTAAAAAAATATCAGTTCGAAATATGTACAGGATTTAAAAATTAACTACCTTTACAAACCAATGGAGTAGATCAATACAATAAGCATATACAAGATAAAAACATAGCGAGATCTTTGAAAACCCAAAATAAAACTGAAGCCCTATCCAATTCTGAAACTGTAACTTCAGTAACGTTAGATTTCAGAAAATATTGTCTACACCACACTGAGAAACCAGTTCATTTCATTATAAGTCGAATTCTCAACCAGAGAACCTGTAATGACCTCATAAATATTTACCAAGTTTTGTATTCCAAAAGCAATTTGATAAGATTACTTGTTCACTAAAATAAAATAAAAAATCCTGAGTAAATATTTCATTACACAAACGTTAAGATGTAGAAAAAGACATCTGCGCAATTATGTTCTGAATTTGGATTATTTGGAATATAACACAGTCATGAACTAATTTTAATAATAGGAAATTTTACACCTTTTATACTTACTGAAATATATTAAACATACTTCCAAGTGGTAATTCCATAGAAAAGGACCAAGTGGTAGTTAACACAGTTGTCATATTTTTAAGCTCAATGTAGATGCAGACAACTACAATATCTCGTAAATTAAACATAAAACGTGGTATAGTAGGCCAAAACCTCCTTTCTAAGGAGAGGCTTATGTCCAGCAGTGGACTGTTAAAGGCTGTTGATGATGATGATGAAACATAATTGGAAGAAATCAGATACACATGTGTATGTCTTATTAAATAATGAAGCAGTGATAAAATTTCAACAAATTTGGTTTGAAATTAACAAAATGGGAGAACTTTTTATATTATGCGCTCTATATACGAGTATATGCTATATAACTCTTTTTACTTTGCACCCGTCGATACACACATTCAGGCCTGCCGCTTGCTTGACCGAAAGATTCTGAAGTGGAAACGATGGACCTAAAATCAAAAGCGTAGATCATTCGTCAACAAGGATGATAAATTACCTTACAAAGCTTCCAGCGGGCCTTTTTAAAAGTCTTTGAGGGAGGCCTATGTCTAGTAATAGGCGGACTTTAGTAGTCATTTATAATTATTTTATTCTAGGTAGGTTAATCATCACATCACATAACAATGAACTGTTAAAATCCAACTCGAGGTATAAAACGTGCTCCAACGGTTTTCTCAGACACAACAGTATGATGAAATACAAAGTGCCGCACGTTTCGAATGTCATTTTTATTTATAAAAGTAACTAGATGAGCTTAAAAGAATCAATTTTCGTTGAGGTTCAGCCTAAAATTTATACACCTCTAGGAACACCGAATCTCGATATAAAATTTAATATTAAGACATATGTCGTAGATCCGCGAATGGATTTAAGTGTAACTCTTATGTGGCGAAGACAATTTACTTAAGAAATGTCTAAGTTTTTTTTTTTCAAGCAAGTGTAAAATTAATTACGGTTTTATACTTCTTTATTAGCCCGCGCCTGAGAGTAGCTGCTCGAAAAGTAAGTTAAGGCGTCGGTTCCGGTTGCTATACGAACATCTATACTAATATTATAAAGCTGAAGAGTTTGTTTGTTTGTTTGAACGCGCTAATCTTAGGAACTGGTCCGATTTGAAAAATTCTTTGAGTGTTAGATAGCCCATTTATCGAGGAAGGCTATTGGCTATATATCATCACGCTAAGACCAATAGGAGCGGAGCACCAATGAAGAATGTTTCAAAAACGCAGAAAATTTATTACTATTGAGAGACGCAGCTAGTCTTTCTATACAACTTCTATATTGCCTAGTACTTGGATTGTGGAGGTCTAATGGCAGTCGCTCTGCCTAAAAACCGAAGTCTAGTTTTGGAAAAAGACACGGAGGAAGATGAAACTGCACTAGAAGGAAGGTTTTTCGAATGGATGTATGTTGTTAATTTCTTTGGCACGCTCTGTAGCCTAAACGGCGTGATGGATTTTGAGGTATCTTTAGATTAATCTTAATTGTTGATAGTGAAACTGGGTAATTGAAGATTAGAGAGAAGATTAGATAGATAACATTTCAATAAGAAAATAGTAGATTTTTAACTATTTTGAAACGATAATGATTTTGTGTTTGGACATTCGATTCTAAATTCATTTATTCAGACTGTATACAGTGCTCAACACACTGATCAGGGGGTAATCTGTGGCTCAAAATAACATAGATGTTAATCACTTTTATATTCATCATCAACATCATCATCAACAGCCTATAACAGTCCACTGCTGGACATAGGCCTCTCCTTAGAAAGGAGGTTTTGGCCTACTATACCACGCTGGCCAGACGGATTGGTATAGGGTTTGTTTCAAGTTTTCCTTCTCTTTGCAGTGCTGTTGTCCTGCGTAGTTTGGTCCCTTAGTCGGCTCTTACGACACCCACGGGATGAATAGGGGTGGTGACATTACGTATTCTTATTCCGTCACCACACGGACAACTTTTTATTACGAAACTTTTATATTACAAATAAACAATGCTGAAGCCACTTCTAGAAATAAATGTCTCTTCAAAGAACCCGTACAACCATCGCCTGAGCAACAATCACGTGAAAACGGTGTGGTATTTTTAATCCTTGCAAATGGCTCATGCTGTAATTTCAACTTGCCAAGTAGCGTTTCGTTGCGCGTGACATAAAACGTGGTGTCTATTTATGATCGGTGGAGGTGGTCACAAACATGTGCAGACAACTTTTAAAAAGACGTATTTGGTCGCTAATTTGTTACAGAAATACCTAACTAGTTTTTGTCCCCTGTTTTCTAATTTCAGCATAGGCTGTGGTGCAAAAAGCAGAATATTGCTAATACAAACGTCATGATAGCCTTTTCAGTATAAGGGAATATAATACCTTCAAGGGGTATGCGAATATAACACGTAGATACTTCGACTGAGTTCATTAAAATAAAATTACAATGATGTTTTATACATAATGACGGATCCTAATCTAATTGTATGCCGGTTCAAATATCCCTTTCTCCTGTGTCTGCTATATTTTATTTTGTATGTTTTGCGTTTCATAATATTATATTATCCTAGATTATTTATTTTAAGAGAAAGTGCCTTCTACAAATACAGGGGATCGAGACTCCTTCTTAAACGACAAATGGTCTGCCTTCAACGATTTAGGGTGGGGTCTATTCGGAGAGGTATCCCAACTATGTTTTCGAATTTCATGTTTTTCGACTAAGACTCTTCCCGTTAAAGCATTTTTTTACATTGTTGGGCCTATTTTTTATGGCCAATAGTTATATGTGAGTTATCACAACAGAGTAAAAAAATACTCGTAGAGGACAGACATTGACTGTTTTATGTTAAATAATACGTATTCATGTGTAAATAATAATTTATTACCTTTTGGAACATGAAAAATATCTAACTATATGCTTGGTTTTAACAACCTAAGCGGATAGACATACATTTAATAAAATGACGAGCGAGCGGAATATATTCTATATTTTGCCGACAATTTGTAGTGGGAAAAGAAAAACTTGGATTAAAGTATAAGTTTTATTACTTATAGAAACAATTGTTCTTTCAACTTATATGAATTATTTCATTTACATATTACATAATTTTTAAATATATATTTTAAAATCACATATAAATGAAAACACTAATAATTTTGCAAAATACACTTCCTTTTATCATAACGTAGTATTTTAATACAGTTTTTCTTTTCAAACTAGTGTTTGGAACATCACAAAACTATCCGTAACTGGTTTGAAAAGAAGAACTTCGATTAAAATATTAGATTTCTTATTTATAGGAATAAATGTTTTTCAACTCATATGAGATATTTTACTTACATTTTACATAATTTTATGTATATTTTTAAAACTCATATTTAAAAAAAACACTAATCATTTTGCAAAATACAGTTAAAACGTGGTATTTTGATGCGTTTACTTTAAGGATTTGAGGGTAAAAATGGCAAAATCCTTAGACCTGTTCCTACAATAAGAACTATTTTACGTTAGGTATTCGCTTACTTGTATCATGGATATGAATTCACACATTACGTTATGAACAAACTGTTTTAGAATTCGAAAAATTATCACACACATGGAAACTACTTTCTCATGCTTTAATTTGCTACTTCATGATTCTTGTTGTTATGAGATCGTACCCAATCGGTATACGAATAAACTGAACAGATTCTTCCCTTGCAATATTAATTTTTCAATTCTTTGCTTTTTTGCCACAAGGCTCGACAACGGGACAATCTTTCGACGGATAAAGACATGGCCAAACTTTTTCGTGAGGTAGATAGTAATCGTCGCCCGAAGCGAAGCACCGACCCAAGTTCAACATATCTTCCAAGTCAAGCCTGGAGAGGAAACGTGCAAATATTAGAAACAGAGATATGATATTAATCAACTTGATTGTTCTAAATATAACTAATTCATCATCATCAGCCTATCGCAGTCCACAACTGGACGTAGGCCTCTTAGATTGATTTTTGCTCACTATAACTACTTAATTTAAAATAAAAATTTACAATTTGACCTTTATAACACCAAAACCCCAAAAAAATAACTAATTATAAAACTCCGTGTGTGTTAGAATTACATTTACAGTTACGTACGTACGCTTCCTCTTTTACAGATCATTAAAAATGTATTTTAATAATGCTCCATAGGTGACAGAAAAAATAGGTTAGGTACCTAAGTAGGAAATTTCAAAACCAGCATTTTCAGATTTAGTTATCTGTGTATTGGCGCGCAATTTTGAATACAAATAAATTTCATTCGAAAGCCATGTTGTTTTAATATAAAATTCAGTCATTTGTGTAAGGATAGTGTTTAGTTTTTGTGAAATTGTGTTAGTTTTTATGAAATTGTGAAGTATATAGTTTATATTATATGGGAGCAACTGACGGCTGTCACTTTCTTCATCGAAGTAATATTGATGTTATTACATCATTATTATTCCAACCATTTCTATGGATATGATTGATCTTTGTGTCAAAAGTGTAGTTATAGGTTTTTAATCTCTTTTTTTTAATATATAATAAATTTTAGTAGATATTATTAGTATCAATATTATAAATACATGCGCTCAGAAATCATTACATTTTCGACAGTCTAGTTCCATCCATCAAAAAAAAACCATTTTTGGATTTTTTTATAATATTTGTATAGCTCCATTGTTATTATATTATTACGAGTAATATGAATATTATAAACTAACTTGCTATCCTCCAAAAGGCTAGATTCATATCCATCAAGTTTAGGTATCAGGTACTGGGAGATACCGCCTTTACTGACGTTAACAGGTGTCGAGCAGTATTTCATATTAAAACACTGTGATGGAGAACCTTGTTCCACTAATGCGCTGTCGATGTACGCTGACCCTTCAAAGAGACCTAGAAAATGACCGTGTATAAGCCAGTCCATTAACGAAAGTATGATGCTAAAATTGAGCACAACAGTTACATGGATAATCAAATATAAAAAAAATGGGTGGTCCAATAGTAAGGCATTGGAATAAAACTAATCAAGTATATATCTCTGTGTCATACGCACATACATCTAATGACTCTATTCACCAGCACAAGTAAACAGTGCATCGGTTTATTTGTGCTGGTGAATAGAGTCATCAGTCATCAGTCAAACCAATAAGTACCAGGCATCTATCTATTTATTTTACCACACAAACTGGATTGATGTTTAACGTTATACAGAACCAGTGTTAGTCTGTCACATTTGAAGTAATTGCCTGCTGTTTCTAAAAGGATACCTAATTGTTTTTGGGACCCTAACGTTTCTTTTCACCTAGAATCACGGGGAACTGGAATGATAAAAGGATAGTACGTCTTTTTGTACGTGGTGTCTCGGAATCTAACTAAAACCACTCTGCGCCTGAAATAGTGGGAATCCGGGAACAGCTGTTATTAAGATGGATAGAAGGATAGTATATATTAAAATAATAAAATAATGGTCAAAGAAGACGCGCGTCGTCATAGAGGAGGATACCTTTCATAAGACAGGTCACAAATCTTGCCGTGGCGAACCCAATGGAGAGGTGACCCTGTTCATAGTTGCTCTTCACCTTGCAGATGAGCTCGTCTGCCTCCCGAACCAGCCGCGTTAAGTTTTTCACTTCCGTCTGTATCATTTTATTATAAAACCGTTACAACAATGCTGCAATTTCAGATGTGGATTTAATTACAGAACTTTATTTGCTAGAACTGTTTAGTAGTTCGCCACAGTTAAAGGATGGCGATTATTTTAAGAACCATTAAATCGCACTAGGTAATGATAGTAAAAACATTTTTTGAACATCCTTACACATCTCACACACAGTCGTCTAATCACAAACCTGGCAAAGCCTGTACTATGGTAACCAGACTAGCGATAGAGATACTTGTATATATATTTCTAAATATGTACATGTTATAGATAATTAGATAATTACACCCAGACACGAATGAGCATGCTTATCACATAGTAATTTGTCCTGGATGGGAATCAAACCCACGACCTTTGGCTTTTGGATCCAGCCCACCAGCTAGTTTTTTGAACCGGGGTAGAAACTTGATAGTGGACTTGATAATGTACTTGTTTTTTTTTACAAGTCGACGGTGATCCACCAGGCTTCCGTATGCTAGGCGCTTTGTGGAGCAAGTTTTTTTATTTTTAATCCCCCTGAAACTGCCACCCGGGGCGGGTGCCCCGGTTTGAACCGAAACAAAAGCAGAAGCCTAGCGTACATCTTTCGTACAGATTCAAAATACATATATAGTTCACACAGTACGGAGATCGATCAGCTAAATCATAATTTAGATTTAAGAGTATAAGTTTGATTCGACAAAAAAGCAGTTCAACTCACGTGTGACCAACTATTTGGTTTTTTAACCGGCACAGAGAAACATGGTACCCTCGTACATCGTCCGGTACCACAGACAACAGGCAGCTGATTGGCTGTCGGGTCCATACCACCGACAGCACAAAACAGTTGGTTGGCGCGCATTGAGCTTACAGAATTAATCCCCAGCACCTTACGCTTGTTGTATCTTCTTGCAGCCTTCATAGTCTAAGAGAAGTTATTAAAAAAAAAGGTTATTCATTATTTTGTTTGTCGCGATTGTTTTAATTATTAGCGCGGTCTTGTCTTTGTGTGTCGTAGTATTTCGATCTACGTGACCTAATCTATGGGTTATATACTGCTGAGTTTAGTAAACTTAGCAACTAAGTCATTTTGGAAGCAGTACAGCAGAGGTATACAGAAACGTCAAAATTCTAGAAACACCTTTTTTTATAGTATTGGGGGCAATCGAGCATGCGGAGCCACCTGTTAGTGTGGAATTCGGGAGAGAGGTTTGAGGCTCTGGTGACTGCACTCACACGGTGAAAAGCAACGAAAGAATGGCTTAACACCAGTTTTCTGTAACGCCGTGGTATCACTCCGATCGAGACGCCCCTTTTGTGCCGAATTATGGCTCTCAAACGGTGAAACGAAATAACGATAAGCGTGATCTTAGAAACCCACATTATCATAACACTCACAACTCATATATTATAACAAACAGTAGGCAGATGAGATCTTGATAAAAAACTAATTTTTATGTTTCGTTAGAAATTGACACAGAACTAACATATTTAACTAGCGTAAAGTTAGCATCCACAGGCGGAGTCTGCACTGCGACGATGGCGTGTGGCGCAAATTCTGCAGAAGCGAGAGCTGCACTGCGTACGAACGGCATGTTTTGAAAGAATAAGTCTCGGTCTAATATGTTGCAACATGGAGGGGAAACATAGGCACCACCGCAAATCAACACAACATCGGCATCCTGTAGTGAAACATTATTTATACAAATAGCATGAGGCTACATTAATTGATAATTAACTTTAAAAACTATAACAGACTCTAATGCACCTACATCGTAATGAATTGTAATAAACTTGCCTTCATTTCCACCTGTAGGGGTTGTTTTTTTTCTTCAAATTTTAATGGGACGAAAGAAGTAGTGTACCCTTTCAAATAAAAAAAGGATTTTTGAAATCAGTTCATAAGGAACGGAGTAATATTAAAAAAACGAATTGAGAACCTCTTTCTTTGAAATCATTTAATAATAGGTGGTGTCCGGGATTTTGGCAATAATGTTTGTCTGTGTAGTGACGGATTAAGAATACGGAGTCACCACATGCAAATAGAAGCAAAGATGTATGCAAAGAGAAGGAAAACTTGACACAAATTCAATACCAACCCGTTTGGCCAGCGTGGTATAGTAGACCAAAACCTCCTTTCTAAGGAGAGACCTATGTTCAGCAGTGGACTATTAAAAGCTGTGGATGTGATGTGTTATGTGAATACTGTTTACTGGGTTGTGTTTTTAGAGTAATTTAAAAAACTACATATTTTAAAACGATGTCATCTTTCTATTAGATACACGTACGATTCCCTAAAGGTTATATTATTAATACATAATTTAATTTAGTGTAACATCTTTAGAAAATAGCCTTCATTACTTTTATCTCCGATGTAATTCCTCAAAAGAGTCGACATGTTTAGCCGAAGACGTCAACAAGTCGTCTACAAACCTATTATTTAACATATTTTATGGTATAGGGAGGAAACAAGCAGATTAGTCACCTGATGTTAAGCGCCTATCGCTGCCTATCGATATTTGCAACTCATTAGATAAAGTATGTTGTTGCCTCATAGTGACCCCAGAATAAGGTGGGTTTTCTTCCTGTAACCTCACTCATTCGGTAAAAAGAACGAAATAACTGATTAACACATGTGTTCAGTGAAGTTGAGGTATCAATCCGATCAAATGCATGGCTCTCCCTCGTAACCGATAACCTGCAGCATTTTTTCTCTCACTGACTATTATATGTATATCAAATCAGACTATACTTAAATATGAGGTGGAAACGATGAAATTTGATATTTTTTACTGAAGTATATACATGAGGTTTAGAAATGCATTTCCTTATTCGTAAGTTTGATTCTTAGACCTGTGCTGTAACTTACATTTAGTGCTTTCTTTAGAAACGTCCGCCCCTGATAAGCTTCTACAGCAGGACTGGTATCAATATGAGCAATGTCAGTCGCCACGCCAATCACACATCGCGCTGGATGTTCATCGTACATGGCGAGAGTTCGGATCACCTTCTGCTGCTTCAGGAGCATGCATACTATGCGGCCTACATCGCTGCCAGCGCCTATTACTGTCACCTGAAACGTCGGCTTATTGTTTTCAAGTAAACATTATTTTTAATTAAATGATACCTAATGCAATATATACTAATGACTTGCAATAACACGCATGCGTCTACCCACACTCAATATAGCCGACTGTTATTATCTTGTATTTAAGTCAGCAGCCGTATTGCTTTTCCTTTCTAGGCTAAGCCTGGTTAACCGAGACGGCGTGCGATTTTTAATCTGGTTGAGTCCGACGTAACCTTTCAACCAGTCGTCCGGTGGGGGGACCGCTCAAAATAGCTATATACTTAGGTACAACAGTAATAACCTGAGCAAAGCAATCAGACACTCCCTTAAAACTCAACTCGTATTGCTGACATACAGAGCTGTTTTAATACAATACCTACTAAAAATATCAAGACTACTTAGGAGTACAAAATAATGTAAAGCAAAATACTTAAGTACAGAGCCGATTATGAGAGCAAACTACGCAGGACAACAGCACTGCAAAAAAAAAGATATTGTGATATAGTAAGCCAAAAATGTCCAGCAGTAGACTGTTAAAGGCTGTTGATGTGATGTGATAACATATATACAATAAAGAGCTTATAATCACATTTGCTCAAATGCCTTACTAAATAACAAAGAACTTTTTTTTTTAAATTAAGATAACTAAAGCTGTGCAAATGAACCATAGATATAATCTAATACTCTTATTTTATTTAATCTCTAATTAATTCGGCCATAAATAGTCGAATCTACCAATGTGTGTGTCTACTAAGTGGTTTTTGTTTAAAACTAGAAGTATACACATACAATGTTGCTTAATTAAGTACAGCTCAAGAAATTTATCCCTATAATTAAAATATAGTATGAAATAGATACTACGAAAGGAACCGCAAGTATCAATCCATAACTATTGATCGTGTTCGACCACAAACCTTGCGTGGCGGGATCCTTGGTACATGACAGTACTGCTCACAAAGTTGCTCCAGCTGTATTAGAGCAGGACTCTTAACCCAGTTTTTATGACCGGCGACTATATGCCTATGTATTTGAAGTGGTTTCAGACGATTGTATAAGGTGGGGCGAAACATTATTCCTTTTTAATGTACACGTACTGGAAAAGTGTATATATATCTATATAAACGTCAGTTAAGCTGCAGTCAGACCGCATGTCGTATTGATTTTTGTAACAACTTCGCACTTGAAAAGGTTTAAAAGATTATTCTTGATATACCCATAACTTTAAGGAATCGGAAACACAATCATTAATAGTAGCATTTGTTATATCACCCAAATAATCTATACTAATATTTTAAAGCTGAAGAGTTTGTTTGTTTGTTTGATGATATATAGGCTATATATCATCACGCTAAGACCAATAGGAGCGGAGCACCAATGAAGAATGTTTCAAAAACGGAGAAAATTTATTACTATTGAGAGACGCAGACGAACTTGCGCGGGTCAGCTAGTCAGAAATATAAGTTTAGAAAGGCTAAGTGTCACGAACATGGAACATCTGGAATATACATTTCGTTTTTTTATGTTGTAGGTGGTAAAAAAGCAGAAGCGTTACTTATGGGAAGTACCTATCGCCACCTATAGACATCTGCAAATCAAGATTCACTAGAGTGGTCTTTAAAATGGGTACGCTCTTTTCTTGTGCCGCCAGTCGGTCGTTTCGGTCCCAAAATACCACGACGACAATTTCTTCCTCAGATTGGTTGTTCGAGCCAAAAAATACTCAAAAAGCGTTTTTAAATGAAAATCTAACGATGATAATAATGTAATAGATAGATAAAGGGTGCATTGTTAACGAAGACCCGATAATCACGTTCCCAGAATTGATCATCATGATTAGGTTCGACTCAGATTAAGCAGAGAGTGCTCGCGCATATTATATTTTTTGACGTCAATCACATCAACCACTATTCTTCATCAACATACAAATGAAGAATCATTTGTCCACTTACGTTTATAAGTCAAGGTAGATAGGGATTGGGCCGACTTCAGTAGAATGGACTTTATCTTTTCATGTGGACATGCAATTCGCATGCATGAAATTCGTTTATTCAAAGCATGTAACAGTTTTCTTTAATATACATTTGAAATTTCACTGTGAAATTAACTACCAACACTTTTTTTACATTTTGGTTACGACTGGATTTTTCCTTTTTTTTACTTTGGTGAATTTATTAAATCCACCATCAAAAACCTTTATTTTGGCAGAAGAGCATAGATAATTAAAAGCATAAAGCTTGCAATATATGCCCATAGAGGTAGAAATGAAATAGCTTGTAGATTGAAGAAGGACTTACAAAATATTCTTAATGCATAAAATTTAAGTGAAAATAAGTAAGACAAGCAAAATATTTATCCAATTATGTTTAACGTGAAATGCGTGTGTAAATATCCATACTTTCATTCCAACCGTACTTAAATTACAAATGTGAAAGTGAGTTCGTGTGTTTGTTACGCTTTCACGCCTAAACCACTTAACCGATTTTAAACATTCTGTCACCAATGGAAAGCTACATTATCAGTGAGTAACATGGGGTATTGTTTACCGTGTAATTGATGACGTAACGAATACTGAAATAGTCTATTCAGACCATCATTCTGAATCAAAAATCTCATTTTTTACCAATAACAGAAAATTTTAAAAAAAGATGAATTTTCCTGCATAAAATTCCCATGATTTTCAACTCAGAATGATGGTCTGAATACACTATTTCAGTATTCGTTACGTTGTAAGGGACTTACACCCTTTATTAGTAGCTATGGGGCGCGGTTTCGCTTGCGTGATTATTACATATTGCGTATTTCTAACTTTGACAATGATGATATTCTTATCATCCCATATTTTACGCCCTTAGAGGTGAAATTAAAAAAATCTTTTCTTAGCGGGCGGTAAAGCATCAAAAGCAATCAGCTGCCAAGTTCGTTTCCCCAGTGGTTTAGGCTCAGCGTTGATGAATCAGTCAGTTAATAACGGCAAGTATTTCTTTAAAGTTAGTAAAATATTTATCTGTCTACGTATTTATTTTGATAAAAAAATATAAAATATTACTGAGTAATAAAGGCGTAGTGGTTTGTGTAACGGACTGCTATTCCAAAGGTCGCGGGTTCGATTCCCACTTAAGACAAACATTTGTGTGCATGAACTTTTAATGTTTGATTTGGTCTGGGTGTTTCAATGTATAATATGTATGTATTTACAAAAAAAAGTATATATGTATTTACAGCAGTTGTCTAGTACCCATAGTACAAGCTCTGTTTAGTATCGGACTAGATGGCGTTGAGTGAATGTGGTAGAATAATATTACTATTATACCCAGACCCACGAAAGCAGCCTATTATAAATAAGTCTATGAAACATTCAACAGGCACAAATATTTTGAAACTCAATAGTTGTGTAAAATGAGATTGGTAAAAAAATTATTGTTTGTAACATACTTTGTACACTCCTACATCTTGTTAACTTGCGAAACGATCATTGTATAAAATAGAGCAATAGCGAATCGCCACCTTGGACAATGGACCTTCAACAATTCGCTTCATTGTCTTCTTAGGTCTTAAAATACACACTTAGCCTTTATCATCATCAACAGCCTTTATTATAGTCCATCAACGTCGTGCGCGACCGTCCTGCGGGGTGACAGACGGTGGCGGGGACGAGGAACTCAAGATGTCAGCGGGTATCGGGTGGTGTAGCGGGGAAGGGAAACGTGTGTAGCCGTGTGCTAGAATGACGCGCTACCTCGCCTTTTGCCACTGTCTGTCACCCCGCGGGACGGTCGCGCACGAGATTGCCGGGTTATAGTAGTTCACTAACTGGACATCGGCATTTTCTTAGAAAGGAGGTCTTGGCCTACTACACCACGCTGGCCAGACAGGTTAATATAGGGTTTTGTGTCAAGCTTTTCTTCTCTTTACAGTGCTGTTGTCCTTCGTAGTTTGGTTTTTTAGTCAACTCTTACGACACCCTTGGGATGAATAGGGGTGGTGACACTCCGTATTCTTAATCCGTCATCACACGGGTAGCCTGTTAGTCTTTAACTAAACTTATTATTTATAGCCTTCATAAATACGTATAAATAATAAGTTTGATTAATCTAATTCTAATAGAAATCTCATTGGTGGTGAAGGCAAAAGGGTTCTGTATTTAAACTCGTAGTTGGCCTATTTGTAAATGGACTAAAAGTTTAAGTGCAGATAAGCTAGTTCAGCGTAATTCTTTAATGACTAAAGTTTCTTGGGAAGTTTCGAAAAGTTTCTAGGAGCGAACTCGCGCCCTCGTTGTGTGGCATCTCCTTCGGCAACCACCGCACGCCATAACAGACACCCGCATAGAATATCGCATTGTTCAATAGATAACGATACTATGCAAATTTCTAATTTAATTGTTCCTAAAACAAACTGACCTAAACTGAGTGAATTGCTAATACATGACCTAAACTGAACTAACTGAATTGCTAACACGTCACTGGTAAAAATAGAAGCTAAATAAATGTAAGTATCGCTAGCATATCATGACCAACGTGGGTATTTATTTAATGTTGGTTTTCTTTATCTGTAAATTTTCCTATATCTTAATCTTATATGTATACAACTGAACTGTTAAAATCAATGTAACTACTCTGTTAACAAGAATCGCTGTTCATTACAAAGTGACAATGAGCAATGTAAAATCACTTGGTTGTCGTGATTCAACGAGCTTAGTGCGGAAACAGCTTTTATTCCAAATTTTGTAAAACAACTTAAAAATATATTTTAACATTCACCATAATTAGATTTCACAAGATCAAATTAGGATTAAAAATAAACAATTGAATTAAAATCAATTCAGAACTGGCAAAAATATAACTTACCTGGTTACCTTCGTATTTTCCTTTTTAGGATAAGGTTAAACTTTAGATTAAAAACTTTTGGAAGTAGTATTGATATTTATTAAATAAAAAGCGGAGCTGCGTGCAAACGCTAGGTTTGCACGCAGCTCCGCACGTTTAGCAATAGTTTTTCCACCCTGCGTGAACCATACTGTTTCTAAATATATAAAAGTCCTTCTTCCTTCTCCGTGTCTCTTTCGCAAATGTTTAAACTTTCATGAAGATCCGAAAAAGGTAGAGCAGCGCAAACAGAAATATAAGCAAACATTCTTTTAGTATTCATATTTATGTTATAGAGGGCAAACGAGAGGACAGGTCTTCTGATGGTGAGGGATTAGCGTCGTCCGCCGTCCATGAACACCTGTAACTGTCGTTGCCTTACGCCTTTTGAGTCCCAATCCTGAATTCGTGCCTCCTCACCTGCCCACCGTAGTTTTAATAAGATCTGACATTTAATGGCTTAGAAATCAAACAACACATAGAACAGACATCAAATTTAATAGATATAAGTTTCACCTATATATTATGTTTAACATTCATATTGATTATTATTATATTGTCTACCCATATACAGGCATACTTGTTTATGTATAGATACAACACGGAGGAATTAAAAATGACTAGACTATTAGAGAGTGAAAGCCGCCCAGACAACTTTACATATCATAAGTTTTGTATACTAGTAAGTACATGGTTCGACCTTTAAATTAAAGTACCCCACTAATAAACTGCTGGTATTTTAATAAACAATAGACAATAATTAAACCATAGAAGAGTTGGCGCCATACAAAGCATAGTTGTTACCTAAATGTCTTTTGAACCTGGTATATTTAATTTTAGAATAATTATTTGCAGTTAATTTTGACACTACGGCACCAACTGCACGCTATGGTTTAAAAACATACGATCTTTTCTTTTATTGTTATTACACTATCAACTGATTGCAAATTTTCACATTAGATTGCCTTATTTATTATAAAAAAATACCCAGCTTATAACAACCTTTTAAATAAACCTATAATAAATAACTATGAAAGAAGATTAACATGTATGCACATCGAAGTAGTTTCTAAACGTTAAATGGCACATAACAGACTGCCAGTGGAAACAATGTCCCAAAAACAAACACTAAAAATATCTGAAATCCACCACTTCAATGCACACAGACCTCAAACTTAATTTTACTGGCACACAGATTCAAAATA